TATTTGAGCAAAAAGGCATAGCAATAAAGAAGATACCTCCGGGCATTCTTGCTCGTTCTCATCATCAATATCATCCAGGAAATCTTCATCTATGATATCATCCAAAAACAGTTGCCGGTCGAAGATATTCGCATCGGCTGTTTCAAAAAGACGGTGGTCGGATGCATCATCACGGACAACGCTGCTACTGTCTACAAATTTCAATACTTGTGAAAAACTGAAGCTTCTCAGCATCAGTAACCTATTTCACGTGATATTTACCATCAGGAGCAGGTGAGGAATCCAGTGTGGCCGAGCAAAGAGTAGGATCGATACTTCTTGCAAATGTACGCAGACGTCGCAAATAATCGTATTCTTTTTCATTCACTGTAGCTGGCCTTTCTTCTGAAAAAAATTCCTCAAACGAACTAAAAAAAAAGAAAAGAAAGGCATTTTTTTTTCAAAAAGACATCCAAAAATTTCAAAAAGACATCCAAAAATTTCAAAAAGACATCCAAAAATTTCAAAAAGACATCCAAAAATTTCAAAAAAACATCCAAAAATTTCAAAAAGATATCCGAAAATTTCAAAAAGAGATCCAAAAATCTCAAAAAGACATTCTTTTTTTAGACTAAATTTCTATAAATGGACTAAAAATCATAAAAAAAACGGAGCAAAAATCATGAAAAAAAAGAACATTAGGCAAGCAGCTCAGGATCGAAAGACCTGAAATAGCTGTGCACAGCGTTTGCAAGCACCCCAGTAGCATCAGTAACACGGAAGTTTTATCACTGATTGGTTCAGTAGCCTTAGTATTCTTCAGATAACGAATAATTTGTAATGCGTGGGGAATTTCAACGATTTCTAGATTATGATTAGGAAAAACTATTCCTACATTCATCACTGTGGCCGAACTAACCTTGTGATGATTCATAGACCAGTTCTTCTCCTTTTTTCTGGCAACGTCGTTGCTCGTCTTTCCAGATATAATTTAATCCTGGATTTGGTGATATTTCTAAAATATTAGCAAAATTTCAATAAATCAACATTAACAAGATTTTTGGCAGATACAAGTAGAAATGCAAGGAAGAAATGCAGTCAGAGGGGATTTTCCGTTCACCGGGGGAGAGGATTGATGTGAATTCTTTGCTAATCTATTGATTTTTCCTCACTTTTTCTCTTAAGCGTAATGATATCAACGTTCCCCCATCATATAAATGAAGGGCAAGAAAACGATAAATTTCCCCGGATATGCCGCTTTTTTCTAAATAAAATTATAAATAATTCTTTCTAATTTCCAAATTTCTAAATTAAATAATCCTAAATAAAATTCTAAATAATTCTAAAATTCTGAATAATTCTAAAAATTCTAAATTTAAATAAAATTTTAAATAAAATAAAATAAATCTAAAGATTAAAAGAAAAAATAACCAGCAACTGAATGTAGCAACGCATTACTGATATCGGTTGCCCAAACATCACATTCAACCGCAACAGTGCTTGATGGTAGAAGTGGTGAAAGAAGCTCCATACTACAAAATACAAGTGAGATTGCTTTAAATTTAACGAACTAGTAGTACTCGAAACACTGTGTGCATGTATCTGATAAACATAAGCAAGACGGAATGCATAAAAAGAAATCACAATACTACAATAGAATCATGATAATAAATACTACACTAGAATCATGACAATAAATACTACACTAGAATCATGATAATAAATACTACACTAGAATCATGATAATAAATACTACACTAGAATCATGATAATAAAGACTACACTACAACCATGATAACAAATACTGCACTAGAATCATGATAATAAATACTACACTAGAATCATGATAATAAATACTACACCAGAATCATGATAATAAATACTACACCAGAATCATGATAATAAATACTACACTAGAATCATGATAACAAATACTACACTAGAATCATGATAATAAATACTACACTAGAATCATGATAATAAGTTCATCAAGCAGTTCTCATCGAAACATTTCTTACCAATTATAAATAATTTTATACTCCCCCTACCCTTTTTTCCACTTCGTTCTCTTTCTCTTCTTTTTCCTTCCCCTCATTTTCTACCTTACTTTTAAATACTTCAACTTAATAACTGTTAAAAAAACAGAAGCCCTTACTTGTTGACGATGTTGCCCACTGTCAAATCTTGATAATATATTTCTAAAAAAATATTTATATTCGCATACAACGAACCACACAACTGAGCTGAACGTCAAGCGCTTAAAAACCATTAAGCTAGTAATCTTTGCCAAAGATGTCAATACTGTTAGCAGGACCGACCATAATTTGGCTTGCCATCCTTAAACTAACCGAAAAATTTGCCAGTTACATAGCTAAAAATTCAGGCCATAAGCTGATTGTAGCATTCAGGTTGACCCTAGAAGCCGAAGACGAAGGCGCAATTGAATGCAGAAAGCAAGAACAGTATGAGAAATGAAGGTAAGAGTGAGATAGGACGTTTCGGTCCAATTAAGTCATATACGTCTTAACTCAACACTGCACGACAGGACTTCGTCAGTATGACAGTCGCAGTGTTTAGTGGAAAAGGAAGGGAAAGGCTTTGATTGTGGGATTAGCAGGGGTAAGAATGGGGTGAAGAAAGAATGGATAAAAGAGAGAGAAAAGATTTAAAATAGAAAATTTTAATGTATAAGGATATAAATTACAGCTGAATAAGTATAAGTGTGCGTTAATTTAAAAAAAAAAAAAACCCAAAAACCGGAAACTCTTTTTTTTTCCGAAAAATAAAAATGTGAATAATGGAGTAAGAAGATTGGAATTAGGTGTCATGTATAATAAGCAACGTTCAATCAGTTCTGATAAATATTCATAGCACTCATTTATAGGCCAAAAAAATGATCATGTTTAAGTGAAATGCTACTATTTTACCGTTGAAATTTCGTTGCGGATGGACACGGAATTTGACGGTATCAAAATGAACCAAATCCATGCCAAAGATTGAGTGATCGATGAAGAACTGCAGGATGTATGGTACATGGGATTCATACACTTGAAAGATGGCATTCTTCCTCACTTCCATTTGTAAACAATCCGCAGCTCTGCAAAAACATTGCTGCTGCTGCTGCAGAAGTCGGAACTGTCAGTCTGTACCAGTCACGATGAAAGCTGTTAGCTTCCAAATTTGTTATAAATGGACGGGGAAGGACGGTAAGAGGTGGAGGGGAGAAGGA